CGGAGGGCGGCGAGCACAGGAGCGATAGGCTCCAGGTTAAATCTCGTTTTAAAAAATGATTGTGGTGGGGAATAGAGGTCACTTAGAGGAGGCACCAGAAGTCTGTATTTTAAAGTGAATTTACGGTAGTATGGAAAATGAATTTTCTTTCTTTCTGCGGGGTACTTGAAAGGAGCCCTGGAAGAGCCGTCCTCAGAAGGTGAATTACTTGCCCAGTGTGCCTGAGATGAAAGCTCGGTGAGGAGTTGTCTTTTCTGACTGAAGGTGACACATTCTCTCGCACAGAATGACCCCAAATACTTCAAAGGTAGAAAAAACCTGGTACCGGCGGCGGTGAAAAATACTTCTTGTTCAAGCTCAAGGGATTTGTATTGCCCTGCTCTGCCTTTATGTATAAAAGATCTATAAACCAACAAAGCCGCTAACGTTAACAAAACAGTTTCCTTAGAGTGAGGGCAACATCTGGTATCCATCCTGAGTGAGCTGAGGCAAGAAGGGCTCTTCGGAGTTAAGGATCTGCTGCTGATTCTTTGGGTTGCCCAGAGAAATGCCCTGAGGGCAGGTCTGCACAGCAGGGATATTTAGCTCTGAAAAGCTATAGACAGGCAAGATCAGCTTCAGGCTTGCTCACCCTTGCGTCACATGCCCAGTGCTTGTTTTCAAGTCACTGGAACTAAATCCGTGGTCCCTTCCATAGCTCTCCTGTTTGGTCCCTCCAAGCTCTCTGGTGGCTGGCAGTGAAGTTGCAGTGACGCACTTGGGCAATATCTGTTGAGAGACAAACATGTTTTTTTCTGGCACATAGGTTATTTGCAAATGACATCCTATCATTCTGTGGCACTACCATTAACTTTAAAGGGACTCTTTTTCTTCTGTCATTTTGGGCAGAAATAAAGCACCTTATTCTGTGGTATGTCAGCAAGATAGCCTCAAAAAACCTGGCTAGATGGACGTTTCTTCAAAGTAGCTGCAGACACATGCATGTGAGAGTGCCTTTGGGTACAGACAGACACTTAAGAAATCAAGCAGGACCTGAGAACTCCCTCTACTGCACCACTAATTACAGGCTTTCTTCTTTGATTTGCTTTCAGAATTTGAGGAGAAAGAGGCTGGGAAAAAGGACCACAGGAAGGAGAAACGAACCTAGCCTCTGGCATAAGATAGGTTTCTCTGAACACCATTCCTAAGCTAGGTTTAGACAGAGCAAAGGGCCCGTAGTTCCTTGATTCCACTTGCAAATACCCTGAACTGCAGTGATACACCTAAGATAGCTAGGAATGTATTTGTAATTTTATTGGTCATGCTTTCCCCAACTTCTCAACTTAATTTTAGAGCCACTCCTTTCCCTCCTTACTAACACCTATATTTCACCTGTGTACTTCATCCCAAAAATCTATAGAACAGGCATTCCAGTTGCAAAGGATAACATGTACATTATTCACGTGACCCATTACCTGTAACCAACAATATGACACTTGTACCTAATTAGTTCTCAGGCACCAGGCAACATATGGGTTTATTGGGACAACTCTATGTCTTAAGAGCCAAACAACCCGGTTGAAAATATTATTTCATATATTGTTAGACTTGAGACCGGTTGATGATGAGGGTCCCTACTTGCTGTGTAGGTATACCAGATACTGATGTTCTTTTCCATTCCCTCCAGGCTTGTTTAGTAGGACAAATTATATTTGTGGGAAGCCTATGGTCCATGAAGATGCATCCTGCTAAAAAATAATGTTATTAGATTGGCTTATTGCAGAATATTTGGACCCAATGTAAGATTTTCAATTGCAATTCACAGCTCTCAGATCCTCTCTTCCCTACTCCGGATTGAAGGAAAAGAAAAGGTCTAATAAAATGCCGTGCAATACTCAGTTCTTTTCTGTATCTAGAGAAGATGCTCTGATCCCCTGTTCCTGAGTATTACAAGAGTATTTTCCATGCTAGCATGATGAAAATAAGCTTAGAGATTGAAAGCAATGGATTCAAGTTTTGTTCTCGAGACCTATTCACAGGACACAGTGTGTTTTCTATTCTCAGTTAACCAACAATATGGTAAATGTTATTGTGAAATAGTAAAAGCAAAGCTTTTTCTTTAGCAGCAATGAATCATCTAAGAAAAGATGTATTTGCTATGTTAAAGTAATGAATTATACAATGTTCAATACATCAGCGTCAGACAACTTATCTCAAATTTTACAACCTGAATCTTTATCCCAACTTAAGCAAGATGTATAAAGTAAAGTTTATGATTCTGTTTCATATATTAGCTATACTGTAACAGCCATCATTTCCAAACCTGGAATTTATTTGCCTAAATCTGTTGTTACAATAGATTGCTAGGATTAATGTGGTATGATTTTGGTTAAGGTTTATCAACACCTTTTTTTTTTTCTCTAGAGATCAGTAATTTTAAAGCAGTAGTGACAAAAAAGCTATATTTTTTTGTCCCATTTTGTTACCCTGGGTAATGTTTTGTGGCATGTCTGGTTTCTCGGACTTCTACAAACTCAGATGATGGCTGGAGAAGATTCTCACTTGGCAGAAGCCTAAGGAAGCATGCTTTGGAGAACCTAGTGAGTAAGCCTTACCCCACAGGAGTAAGGTGGTATGATACCTTGTCTAAACATGTAAGATATAGATTGCAAATCAAAGGCCTATTTCATAGCATTTCTGTCAAGACTTATTGAAAACTTCAGTTCAAAGGGTACCCTCATATCTCCAGTGGAAGAGGAGCAGTCAGTAGTGGTTTTCATGCCCAAGATCTTTCACAAATGCTATTCAACCTTCAGCACAAAGTACATGCCTGGCCATATAGATTGCCAGAACCTTAGCCCATTTGTAATAAGTTTCCTCACTTGAAGTCTGTTTCATCAACTGTAAGATAAGGCCATTCTCCTCTGCTTCAAAGAATGCGAAACTTCAGAGAGAGGTGTTAACAAGAGTCCTCACTGGGAATGAAAGTGCCCTCAGCATTGTGGAGCGATCCATTTCCCTTTATTCTTTTTTTTTTGCTCCAGGTAAAGATTTTCAACCTACCTCTGGAGTAACAGACCAAGAGCAGCTGCTGAGGAGAGGTAAGAGAAGTGAAAAGTTTTTTTGCAGGTAAAAATAATTGATGTCTTTAAAGGAAGGCATATCTTTTAGAAAGCTTTGCTCCAGTTACGGCTGAACAACTGTGCATAAATTTTTTAAAAAAATAAATCAAGACAGCTGTTTCCAAGGTAATTCTAACTTCCCTTTCTTACATGCAGGAGCAGCTTGCTTGCTCCCTAAGAACGTTCGCAGAAAGAAGGCATTGCAAATGCTTGCATGAATAAGAAAAGTTATCCTGAAATAGTCATCAAAATTTTTGTCAGGGGGGAATCCTTTTATTAAATGACAGTTTGGAGACCGATCTCACAGCATGAATGCAGAATGAGAATTCCACTCTGCACCCATACTGAATAAGCCACTACAATCAGAACCTGAAACAGGTTTGGAAAAAAATACTTTGAATAACAAAGGGAGCAGCAAGAGCCAGCTGTGTGCTAAGAGAAGACAAGCCAAGGGTGACCACAGCAGAGGCCAGGCAATGATCTCACTGTCGGGGCACAGTCCCACAGCAACGCCAGCCGGGGGATGACAGCAAGAGGTCCCCTTACTGGTCCATTGATGGTCAGACAAAAGCCAGGTAACGAGGCCAAGGTCATCCGCTAAATCCAAACAGCAATTCAGGAACGGGACTGTAAACAGGTACTTCTACAACATAGCTCAGGGAAGAAATGAAGGCCAGGCCTGAGCTTAAATGAGGCTTCTAGGCCCACAGGCAGAGGGCACGGATGGAGGCCCCAGGTGGGTCTGGTCAGGGTAGTTTGGGCCTGCTGCTGCCCTCAGGGCCCTGACAAACTCGTACTTGGAAACACCAAGTTCATTTGCAGGTGGCTTATGAGCCAAGGTGGTTAAATTTCACGTTCACGAGCCATATTATCATTTTACCATGTATCAATATAAGTTGAAAAAAAAAAAAAAGGTGCTCCTGAAAGACAGGATGGATACAGCATTTGTGAAATAAAACACTTGAACAAATGCTACATGTTATCTAAGGCAGGCTGTTTAAAGTAGTCAGAGAGATGATGTTCATTATCATCCATAAAATGAGTCAAATATCCCCCTATCTGAGTTATACTGCAGGATGGCCAGCACTAGGAAATTCAGAAATCTTAAAATTCTTACATTTTCATCTCATGTGGAAACTCCAGTGTTAATCTATCTGTCTGTCCATGTTTCTGATCTTTGGAACTACAGAAGTCCTGAACATACGGATATCAACTGAAGCTATTCACACTGTGATACAAATTCATATCATGAAATAAAACCTTTTTCATTATTTAAGGGATAGGGTTTTTACTTCAGTGGCTATCATAGTAAAGACTGACAATATCCCTGCTAGGTCAAAAAATAGGATTACACTTATCTCAGCAGCTGGGTGCGGCAGAGCACAGAAATGCTGAGCCCAGGGTCACGTACAAACCATGGGGCAGAGATGGCTATGAAGTCCAATGGAAGTTCTAACTTGCAGGTCAATATTACCGTTTGATCTCCCTGACTAAACTCTACTGTGGGCTTCCAAATGCGCATGGTTTTAAAATCAGTACAGATCATCACCCATGCAAGCCATGTAACCATTCAATAACATGGACAGTTGAGAGCTGCAGTGCTCACTCCATAGTGAAAAAGGATTAGGCCTTTTAAATCACAATCTTATCTTGCAGTACAAAGAGGAGCTCCACCTTGGAAGCTAGTTTTTAATTACCACAGTACTGGACAGTCATCCACAATGTGGTTTTTCCTGGTAAGTTTGAGAGTATCCCAGAGAGTCAGGGATGATTTCAGTGCAGCCCCATTACCACTGAATGCATACACTTTTCTGTAGCTTAAATTCCACTAAATTCTAAAGAGATCTTCAACTTCACTGGATATGGATGAATATCCTGGATATTGCTGTGATCTCTCTCAATTTGCTGTCTCAAGTCCTGATGCTACCAGGTACTAAGTATCTTCAACATCTGCATTCCCCTGGGTTCTAATACGTGTATGTAATAAACAATTTTCAGCTGTTTTCTGTTTGCTGATCCCTGTTTTCTGGCAGAATGCAGATGCTAAGGGCAAATAGAAGCCTCCTGACAGAAATATTTGCCATATTGTCTTGCCAAGGCCCTGTGGAAGTAACTAAACCCCATGGTGAAAAATCATTAAGTTAGAGCCTTGTGCAAGAGTTTAAAACTAGGTTACTGACCAGGAATCAAATCAGATGTGTCACACGTGCAGAGAACAAATGGTATTTCTTCACTACAAAGAGGAATAAAGACACAAATAAAGGATGCTCTTCTCCAGACCCTAATGGCCACCCAGTCTGAATGGTATTCTGGTATTCTGGTTATGTTTCTTTTACCCTGATGGCAAAAAAAGATGTTAGATACTATATTTCCATTGTAATTCTCCATATTGCCTACCAGCAAGTATGTGGTAACAATGAAACCATTGTTCCCTCTTCAGGCTTGTAACTAATTACAAGTGTGGGCAGACTGGTTCAACAAGATAATAAAGCCTGGAATACTTGCTCAAAGATCCTGTTCAGAATGCATCTTTTTCTGACTGGGAAAGCAGTCAAGGTCTCTTCAAGAAAAGCTCCACTGTCCCAGTCTCTAGCCTGCTTTTACACCTGCGCCCCTGGCATGGCAGTCACGCAGCCATACCAGCCTGTAGGAGATCTGTTCTTTTGGGAATCTCTCATTTCATTCTCACCTGGCTCAGCTGACAGCTACTTGCTGCATATCACTTTAACGCAAAATGCAAATTGCTTGTTTTGTTTACTTCCTCCAATAAAGTGAAAATATCATGCCCTGTGATGGAGAGTGACTGACTGATACCTGCAGGCTATCAAGGCATAACACCATGGATTCCATATATCCGTATCTTCTGGCAGGTTATCAAACTACTTAGAATTAGTTACAAGTGTATTAGCTATATAGGTACAGTGACTTGAGTTTAGGGAGGTAGAGTTGCAATAATTGTTCTTTTGGCCTCTCTAGTCCTCAGAGCAGCTAGTTGGAGAAAGAGAAAGACGGTGTATTCATCGCTTGTATCTGAGGTTCTGAAAATAGGAATAGAGATTAATGCATTTATGAGAAATGCATTTTGAGAGAGAACTAATTTCTGCTTGTAAATTTTTTCATATTTATTGAATAGCAATTATGTTTTTCAAAAGGCTTTTCCCCTCTTTTCTTCCTGTGACATTTCAGAAAGTTTGGAAATGCTGTTTGCACTTTGCTCTAGAAATGGTCTGCTTAAGCTCAGTGAGTCAAAAATCTAGACCCAGCACCAGTTTCCTAAGACTGGTCAATTTGTATGCATCCCAGCAATATTTGCTCTCAGGAGCAGTGCTGAGGTGGCAGATTTTCGTTCCAAGGCACTTTTGGGTTTAGTTACTTTGTCGTCCCTGTTTGTATTCTCAGGGGGTTTGCCAAAACAGCATAACCAGTTAACCACTACGTTATTCATTGTGTTACACCACAGAGTGCTTAAAAAACGAAAGCTGCTACAAAGCTTTTGAGTCATGTCTGTTCCTGTGAACATCACCAAACTTGTTCTCCCTGACAGATACACACTGCATATGCGGGTAAGCACTTAGGATCCGTCTCAAGTCTTCCTCCCCTTGACAGATTGCTGCAAGTGCAATGAACAGAGAGAGAGAAGCTGCACTAAATAGACACACAGGAGGGGCTGCTTTAGAGAGGAAAGTAAATTGCGAAGTAAATGCGCTATATGGAAACGAAAGAATATGGAGTTTTCAAATACTGTTTCATTTGGTGTGGGTTTTTTTTTTTTTTTTTTTTCTCATTCCAGTTTGCATGAGGTTGCAGTTCCCTATGGATTTCCAAAGGCAGATTTTGGCCTGTGGATTCTACACCTCATGTTGTGATCCTGGCCTCTCTTGCAAGCTATGGAAAAGACAGGGTGAGTCTGGGAATTGGGTAGAAGCTTTCTGATGAAGCCCTTAGTACAGGATGTTTCCTGTGAAAAGTTTAAGGTGTTTGAGCAAAAGACAAAGAACGATCCTGAATGAACTCCCAGAGCTACTCACTGCTTTATGTAGAGCTGAGTTTAGACTATTAAAACCCATTGCTAGACCACCCCGGAGTTTCAACTGGACAGCCTTGTTTCCAGCTCGCAACACAAGCAGAACACATGCAGCTTTCCACTGCTGAATAAAAGTGGAGGCATAATAACCCGTTTGCTAAGATCTTTTAATGCACTGGTTTCTGCCAAGGGAATTTTCCAGTTCATTTCTGAAATAAAAGTACATTTTTCCACCTGCAAGGTACCTGAGACAGCAGCACACTTACTTATACCACTTACACTTATCCTGGGAGGTTAGGCATTGCTCCCCACTTTAGCACTGGCCATGGAAACACCGGCTAGTGCCACCTGCAATACAGCCTTGGGCGTGCAGGTCCACAGACCTGCTCCCCCCATTCACAGGGACGATACCTGCCCTTGTATCACATCATTTAAGTTACAGAATCAAATGCCTGAAAATAAGGAGACAACCAACTGAGCTCATCATCAGCCTCATGCAGGTTGAACAGACATAAACACGCATCGGCAAATATAATGAACTGTTCTGCAGTGAGAATGGGGCTTTCCCAATGCTTCCTCCTTGAATTCCCCTCTCCCCCACTCACTGAGTAGCTCAAGGAAATTGTGTGCAATGCAGCTCAGCAGTAGGCTTGATTTTTTTCAGTACAAATATGAAACTTCTTTATCAAGCTATATTTGCGCACAGGGAAAGAAAGGAAAGAGTTTAATTGCATCCTCCGTCCTCAGAGGACAGGAGCATCTGCTGCCAGGCAGCAGCCGCCAGCCTGCCCTCTGCATGCACAGATGTCAAAGTCCGTGCCAGAGCCATGCCTCCAGGGAGAACAGAGGCTTGGATTTTAAGATTAGCTCCACCAGCCTGGGAGCAGACTGCACACCTAAAAGATGTATTTTATTTCCCATGTAAATATTTTGAAATTTCATTTCCTATATAATGGCATGCTGGCAGCATTTTCCTCAGTGAC